CTACACATTGAGGTTGAAAACATCACCGCGTTAGACTGTGTAAAATAAACTAAGCTCTTTTAGATATTGTTAGATAAACACTTAGGCATGCTAAGCAAGTACACTCTCCATAGGCGGAATTTGGGATGGGACAGGGTCACAAGGGAACAATTGCCCCCCCCCCCCCACAAAAAAAATACTGATAGGGCAAAACAATCATTTTAAATGGTCAGTAAATTGTGATTAATTTTTGCACCCCAACAATTAGAGCCAAGTGCCGCCTATGATACTTTTCTAGTCTTCTTATAATATAGTAAAAATCAACAAAAAACTTTCAAAAACATTAAAGACGTTACGTAATGTGTTTATAAATTATAATATTATAGTATACGTGTATATTTATAAACATAACATGTAGAGGTACCTATTAGTATAATAATAGTTATATATTTGATTTTTTTTCTTTATAAACCAATATTAATAATGATTTATGCGGACATACATTATTTATTTTTATTTTTTTTGGTTTATCGGGCCTTTAAGACCATCCATAAAGTGATAAACATTCAAAAAAATATGAAATGCAACTATAATATTTGAATTATAATACAAAAATTAATGATACTTTAAAATTGTTATTAATTTTATTTTAATATTTAAGCACACTATTATTTCAGAAACAAGTAAAAATAATTCAATGTAGTTGAAATTTAAAATTTGTTTGACCAAAATATATACGTTCAAATGCATTTTTGAATTAAGATATTAATATATTATTTTAATCTATTTATGATTTTTTAAATTATTTGATCTATTTTGATTAACATACAATTGTGATTTAAATTGTTTTATTATTATATTTACTGAATAATGTATGACAATCACGTTTTATTTATTAAAAAAAAATATATAGAAATTTAATAATATGTGTGTATGAACAGGCGCATGATACGACATATTATTTTTTTCCAACTGCGAAATATTCATGGAAATATAACGACAAGGGTCCATAAGTTGGTGATGGATGATGGTCATGGATTATACTTTACCATCGTGAATAATATTATACTCCCTGTAATACGTATTACATGATATATGTTTTAATATATTTTTATAATTTATAAGCCATTGACATAATTAAAACGATTTTGAAAGACTACACATTCAAAAATAAAAATATAATAGTTCGATAACAAAATCTAATTTTGTTGATTTATAGAAATCAAGACGTGATTTAATATAAATTATGATAAAAAAAATATTATAATATTGATATTCACAATGTTATAAAATAGTTATTATTATTAGGTACCAGGGTTTTTTAGTAGGTACGTAATGAAAGTTCAATTGCAAACAAAACAATTGTATACCTACATGTATAGATTAAATATTTTTACAATAATGGCTTACCACTATTTTGCCTTACAAATATAAATATGATTTTCTTAATCGCATAATGCGAGTTACTATTTCATGACAAGTAAGTAAATCAATACAAGTATACTTAAATAGTACATAACTAAATACTTGGCATTAATTTGAATACCGCATTGATATCGTGGTGGGGAGGCATAAAGAACATATTTTGTGAGCGTATCCTATAACATAAGTTATATTCGTTTTTATAATATATTTTACCAATCAAAATTTACAAATATTTAAAATTAGTTGATTGTATTTTGGGACGCTCGCACCATGTAAAAAGTATAATTCTGTTATAACATTAACGACATAATATCTACCATTTTTATACCTTATAAATTATAATTCATGTAAAGTTCCCTTCTTATTTCGCAAAGTCAATATGGTTATAATACCTAAATACTAATAACACTTATAAGTAGGTACTTAATTTATACTCTCGAGTATATTGTTGTAGTTATATAAAATAATATTAAGCAATATTATACCTAGGTATAATATGCATAGGTACCTATTTGTTTTTTTCAAATGGAGAATTATATATTTTTGGTGTTATGTATTATTATTTTTTTGTTACTTTTGATTTTTTTAATCACAGCAGAGAAATAACCAATTACATTTACATATTTAAAAAATAAATGAATGCGTCCACATATATTTAAATAAAATTAAAATTGAATAATTTATTACAATAGTTATGACATCAATTTTATTACGTCAACGTCGATCAGTACTCAGCTAGACAAATGTAATAACAACACATGGAATATGGAAAACATTGTGGGATGTTTGTCAAACATAGAGATTTGAAAAATATGAATGTTTCGCTTTTTGAGTGTTTTGTTGTTGGAAGAAAAGATCGTAATAGTGAGCAATTTATCATATTGTGTTTTTTTTGATGTTTTTTTTCCTATACCATAACAGAATGTGCGTTTTAGTCACAATTTTAACGTTATTGCAAAAATAAAAGTAAGAGGAAACATAACCAGGGACCAATAAAAATGGCAGGCAATGACTCATGTTCGTTGAAGCGTCGTTTATCTGTTTCACTCACAACATGTCATTGGTAAAAAGTTTCTGCTACGGGACGGGGGACGCATATAGTAGTGTTGCATTCAAAGCTCGTGCATTTTAAATTAATTGCTAAATGTCCGGGAAGCCGGAGGTGAGCAAAAATTTGTGCTATTTTGATGTGTGTACAATAATAACGGCGATGGTGTAAATAATTTCGAGATAAACCATAAACATGTGTGTGTTGAGTATTATAGTATTGTGTGTGTGTGTATTTTTTTTTTCTGTACCGTTTTGATGATTGGAACTGTGTCTGAATTCGCAGCTTCTGTCAATGCACGTCTGAGTCGTGCCCGACGCGCCTGAGTCCCCTGAGCCGCCAACGTCTGAGCTGAGAGCAGGATTCCCGCCTGGATCCCATATAGAATAATTTTTTGTATAAATCAAACTAATCAATAATATACCTATAATTTTCATTACAAATTATATTTTCATGACAATATAATATCGTTTTAGCTTAAATGGTTTTATGATTCAACAACATTGTCAGTATCATTACAGTAATAATAAATAATATTTCTGGCATAGGAATTAAAATAATATAACAAACTATGCTAGGCGATTGTGTTGAATACTCGCATTTAAATAAATAGTTCAATAGAGCATTTTCATGAAAAAAGGCGTTGTATGTAGTTTGTGAAATATAAATGCATGCATTACATTATATAAATATTATTAAATTAATATGTCCTTTTAACATGCTATTACATATAAGAAAAAAGTTAACATGTCATGATGATTATATTATACAGGGTTAATATTATACAAACGAGCTGCAAATATGGTAAAATTACATAAAATATGAACTTCTGTTTGAATATGTATTTTATGTTATTGAAATTAGAATATTTGAATAATATTAATCCTAAAAGCTACTACAGTAACTTCGAAGTTTTGAAACTTCTAATGAATTGGTTTGTAACCCTTAATGCTAAGAACTTCATATTTAGACAGTTTGAAATATATTATCTAATTTATTTTTATTTTTAAAGTTCAAGTATGCACAGCTACCTATACAAACTGCATTGTTTTTATTTTCTACAAAGAATTATTTTCATTATTACTCTGATTTCTGGTTTAGTATACGTGATAACATAAATATATTGATTATATTATGCAAATAAATTCTATTAGCATAACAAATATGATAATTTAACCAGGTTTATATGATTAAAACATAAATAGTACTCATATTTTTAATTGTAAATTATTTTATTTGCAATAATTATAATATAATATAAAATATTATCTTTGACGAAAAATTAGATTCTGAATCTGAGCAAAGTAACAATTGTATATATTTTATACCTAGTTAGTATGAGAGTCTGAATGTATTGAAAGAATGCAATGAATGTATTGATTTTAGAAAGATGTTTGTATGTTTTTTTTTGTGTCTGTCATCACCTTTGGAGCAGTAAGAGTGCTTAGATTTTCAACTTTGAGGGTGGTTTTTAAATGTAAAAAATGTTCAGTAATTTGCACAATAAACAAGAAAAACGAGATTTTTTTACGTAGAACCAGTTTTTGACAAAATCAATTTGGTTTTTTTCAACATATCTGAAAAATGAATAACTAGATAATTTAAATTTTTACTAAAATATTTATATTAGTATTTTATATACAATAAAATGTAATATTTTACAAATTCTATGAGCACTGGTAAGTTAAATTATATAAACATTTTCGATTTGCTTAAGTTTTTTTTTTCTAAAAATCGATGAAATAGTTTTTGCTCTGTCAAAAGCCTTGAAAAAATAATACAAGTTTCCTCAGAAGTTGTTCATACCAATTAAAGAATATCGAAAATACAATATGTTCATAATATTTGTTTATACGGGTTTAAAATTAAAATTTTTACGAAATTTGTCAAAATCGTAATTATAATATGCAAATTATTCTGTGGTTAAAAATGCATAATAGTTTTTATTTCCATACTGTTTTTCATAGGTTATTAAACCTGGAATTAAAAAAAGAGCTTTTCGAGAACAAAATATGTTTATGTCCTTGTTAAGTTTAATATTGGACAAAATGTAATACTCACACGTAAAATAACGGTTTCTCATCAAATGATTATTATTTTGTTTTATTTAAAAACGAATATCCCAATATAACTATAGATACTTCCAATTTTCGACTCTATGTGAAAATCGCGAAAGTCAAAATCACGAAAAAAAAACAGCGAAAATAAAAATCGCGAAAGGTTTCAACAGCGAATACAATAATAGCGAAAATTATTTTCGTTAGTGGGTATACCGTATGGCGTCTACCTTTATAATATAATAAGTAATATAGATAATCAATAATGTAATTTTGTAATCTTGCGTCTTGGATCACTTAATAAAGATAAGCCGAGGTTGAACCTAACAACTGTCAAGTTTTGTCATAGTAAATAATAGTAATAATGATACCTAGATAATCAATGTCATTTTGTACTTTGTACAAATCGCCAGTCACACCAGTCCGCATTACCGAGTCGTCCGTTCACCGTTGTCATATTTGTACAGTTATTAACTCGTAACATTTTCGCAATGGAGTACATTAAAAGTCAAAAAAACAAAAATTTACTTAAATTTAATAGTTATTTATATAGGTTTGACAAAAAATATAAAAATACCATGTATTGGAGATGTACTGAAGAACTATGTAAATCGCGCCTTAACTTAAAAAACGACGAAATTGTAAAAGGACCTAGTGAACATAACCATACTATTTCAAATTTAGAAATTGAACGACGTGTTTGTATAGACAAAATGAAAATTCGAGCTCTATCATCTCAAGATAATCCACATCAGATCGTTTCAGAAGCCTCAACATTGTGTTCGCAAGCCGTTCACGGAGCTCTCCCTCCAGTAAGTCATATTAAACGCACTTTGTGTCGAATACGACAAATTAATAGTTCTGCTCCATCTAACCCATTTACTATCACAGATATAACCATACCCGATAAATATTCCCATACTATTGATGGTCGCACATTTTTAATAAATGACATTGAACCAGTTGAAAGTCGGATTTTAGTGTTTGCTACGAAAGAAAATTTAGATTTACTGTCTAAATCTGATCATTGGTTTGCAGATGGAACTTTTAAGTCATGTCCTCCATTATTTACACAAGTATACACGATACATGTTATAAAGCATAATTTGGTAATACCAGTAGTTTTCGCTTTAATGCCAGATAAAACGCAAAGTTCGTATGAAAGGTTGTTTTCGGCCATCAAAACACATAATATTAATTTAAATCCAAAAACAATTATGACTGATTTTGAACAGAGCTCATTAAACGCATTTAAAATACTATTTCCGAATACTGAACAAAATGGCTGTTTTTTTCATCAAACACAATGTGTTTGGCGAAAAATCCAAACTATTTCTGGAATGGTAGAAAAGTATAAAACAGACTCAGAGTTTTCATTGCAAGTCCGTTACTTGTCTGCCTTGGCTTTTGTTCCGGAAAATGACGTAATTGACGCATTTGAGACATTGTGTGAAAGTACGTATTACACTAATAACGAAGATGTGTTAGAACCACTTATTTCCTATTTTGAGGATACATGGATTGGTCGTCCAAATAGACGTAGAAGGAGAAATCCCAGATTCCCTATTTCACTGTGGAACTGCTTTAGATCTACTATATCTGGTTTACCCAGAACAAATAATTATGTTGAAGGATGGCATAGAGGCTTTAATAACTTATTGAGTTCATGTCATCCAACAATATGGAAATTTATTGAAGGAATTCAAAAGGAACAGAGCTTAAATGAAATGAAAATAAATCAGTACATAGCGGGCACGGTCGAACCATCCAAAAAACGCAAAAGGGATACACTTAAAGATTTAGTTAATGACTACGAAAATAGGGATAGACTAGAATACCTAAGGGGTATTGCCTATAATTTAAAGTACCAAATTTAATCATTATTTATTGTATTTATTATTATTTATTTATTTAATTTACTTATTTACTTATTTTTTTATACTTATATATTGCAATTTTAGGAAAAATATCAAATTTAAATTGTATTTTTTTATAGTATTTTGACGTATTTTAATGTTTTTACGAAAAATATACCGAAAAGAATATTTTAATTTTCGCTATTATTGTTTTCGCTGTTAAAACCGTTCGCGATTTTTATTTTCGCTGTTTTTTTTTCGCGATTTTGACTTTCGCGATTATTTTTTCGCGATTTTAACTGGCACCCCCAATTTTCACCAAATTTTTATACTAGCATTTTTCATAAATTATATAATTTAAAAATATTATATCAGATTCTAAAATCAAAGAATGATGATATTAGTTATTTTGTTGTAATTTAAAAATATTATTTGTGGAACTTGATACATTTAACGTATATTATTATAATATTATATTTTACATCTACACACAGTAACTTTATCAAATGCAATGTTTTTAGAACAAATTAATTCAACCTACCGTATTACTAATTATAAATCAATAAATCAACATAATATCAATATAAACATATCATAAAAATGATAAAATATACTTAGTTATATAATAGGCTGAATAATTTTGCATATGCAACGTTTTTCATTAAATCCAAATTTAATACATAGGTACATTACAGTGACTTTATCAGTAACGAGGGTACATTTGACACCTACTGTACAGCAGAGCAGTTACTTGCATTCATACAATTATACAAACGTCAAACATTCCCTTTTTATATTTATACTTTTGCAATGATACTGGATAGTGGATAGTACTATGCATAGATATTTTGTGGTTTTATAAATAGAATGTTTTCACTCAGTTATGGAAGCACATTTTGTTTTACCAAATCCTATATAAAATGTATTATGATGGACAGACCATTATGCTGCACCATGTTGAGCGAAACGAGATGATTGTCGCCCAATCAGTAACCGACTCTGATGAATTCAATGGCGATTTTTTATTTTTTATATCAATCGTTATATACACTTAAGGCTGTTGGAGCATAGAATATTTTAAGTAGTAAAATTTAGGAAATTGTGCAAAAATATTATTTGCAAATATTTGTCATTGTGTGTGTAATCCATTATCTGTGCCATTATCATGTTATCGTAAAAAAACCGTTAAAATCAGTACAAAATAGTCATAAGCGGAAGATTAGTTTATGTACTTCCCAATGTCCGATTATTATTTTAAAAATATGTTTGAACTCATCATCCCCTTTTCTAGGTTATGTATGAAAAATAATTAAAGTTTTAAAACTGAATGTAAGTGTATAAAATAAAAATATTTTTTTAAATTTTAACAAATTTTTTAAGATTTATTGAATACAAAGATCAAAAATCTGTTTCCTACATAAAATATAAAAGGAGACGATGAGTTCAAACATATTTTTAAAATAATAATTGGACATCGGGAAGTACATAAACTAATCTTCAGCTTATTGGTCTGAAACTACAAAAAATACAGCCTTAAAATGAGATAATATGTAATTTAGATTTCATTGTTTTTTTGTTGGTCCAATACCTTACTTATCATATTTTTACGTTTATCATTTGTGATTTTGATCACTATTTATAAAATATTATAATTCAAATGTTTAAATTTATTTGAAATAGATATTAATTATTCTTACATTTTACATCGAAATAACTTAGACTATATTGTATAACTGTTTTTTTAATTTAGCATTTATATTAGATAGGTACTTAAAAACATTTAATTAAAATAATTTATTTTGTTTAATTTACTGCTTATAATTTATGTAACTGAAACAAACTTAATATCACATTTTATTAGAATTAAAATGACATCAGTTTATGTTAACGAATTATACTTACATAATGTATAATAAATAATAATATAATATACCAAAATGATTATACAATATTAAATTTAATATTGTATTCATTTGTGTCAGTTAAATTGTTCAATAATATTATTAGATAACCACTTTTTAAGTATTTTTTTAAAATAGTAGAAGTTCCTTATTATCTAAAAGTTTGATTGTACAATGAAAGAATTACTTTTTAATAAATACCTATAATAGGGCCAAAAGAAATAAATAAAAACAAAATAATTTCAACTTTCAAGTATAATTGTTGCAAACATGAAATTTTGTATGAGGATGTTACAAAAAATGAATTAAACAATTCATATGCACTAGCATCATAATATATTCATATAATATATTTTGGGTGATTTTATTTTGTTGAATATGGGAGTATATAATATATAAGCGCCGGTGCTATTGTTTAAAAATATTCAGAGGATAAAAAGTAACTCAAATTTATAAGTAAATTAATCAATTACACTTTGTAAGTCACAATTCATCGACTATTCCCTTTAAACCAATATTCCAATTTATTTTCATTCAAAATATTGTGATTTTCTCAAATTGGTCCAATATTCAGTGAGGTAATGTGTTAGATATCTATAAATATATTATTATAACTAATCGAAGATGATTTTTTACGATTGTAATTTTTTTCTATATATATATTATATTGTGTAGGTAATTATTAGGTACTCATTAATTGTTATACATTATGTTATAGTAATTACTTTTTTAAATGAAAATAAATTAGCTGACCCTTTGTAATCGTCTGTCGAGACTGTTCAGTTCAAAAACCACATGCTGTTTGGCAATTTGGCATTACAAATTAATTATGGGCATTACATAATAATTTATATAGGTATTATAATACAATTTTAATGATTTTCTTGTGACACTTTTCTGATGGTCAAAATAGTATAATTTAAGTGAACATTTCAATCATAATAATAATAATAATAATAATAATAAAAAATTATGAATAAGTAATACCATTTATTTGGATATAATATTAGTAAAAATATGTATTAGTGACATACTATGTACAAGATATACACATTTAAAAAGTATCAAACATACAGAAGGCTGTTACAATAACTTTGTGTAGTACCATGGTAACGACAGATCTGAAATGTTACGTAATAATTATGTACCTACCTACCTCTATATTTGTGCTAATTTTAAATTCCCAATTATGTTACATTGTTCTCTTATTCGTATAGGAAGTGTTTGGAAATTGAAACTCACTCTAAAGCAGAGTGGTTCATTGTGTTTAGACATCACCTACGTACACTGTGTTCTATCGTATAAAGTACTCGGGTTAAGGTTTTAATTAAAACATACCGTTATAGAGTAACTTTACCAACGTGACCGGCGGGAACTGTAATTATTTTTAAAGCCCTCGGGAATATCTTGTCATTCGACATCAGGGAGGCATCCCTATTAAACGTCAACCATCTTCGCTAGTCGAAATATTTTATATCGTATACAACACCGACGCACCGTGGTCGACTGATGAAATACTATCATATAATTGTATTGAATTAATCTTCTCCCGGTTGTGCTATGCTGCGCTGGTCTATTTAAGTATTTCTTGAAAAAATAATATTATATAATTATCAAGACATAATATCTTGTATTTAGGATCTACCTCATAAAGATTTTATGAATTTTATGACGTTGTTTTACAATGTTCGTGGTTCATATTGGATATAATAAATAATAATATATTATAATATCATACTGTACTACTAATTGACAGGGTATATGTACCTACTTTTAGAAAATCAACCATTATAATAATCATGTTTTAAAAAGTATTTATATTAGGAAAACCATATTTTAGAATCATAACGTTTCAAGCTAAATAACTATCAATCATGCGAGCAGGCGTATAATTATAGGTATCCATTTCGTTGTATGATTATCTTTGTATAGTGTATAGATACTATTATTAATATTACGTCGATAACATATTAAAAATAGTATGAAATGAATTAAGTAACTAAGTACTCATACCATATTTGGTGACACATAATATAAAAAAATAAAAAAGTTGGTGTAGCTCTGCTAAGCGCCGGATTGAGACTTTTCGGCCCACCGAGATTTTAAATTTCTATCGCCACTCAACAAAAAATCAACCCATTCAACTCATTCTTATTTTATTTACACCACAATTAAAAATTTCGAAAGGATACATTGGTTTTTTTGATATTTAACTAGGTGAATAATATATTAATTCATAATTGTTTCTCATGTTTACAAATTATACAATACAGTGTATTAAGTCAATTAGGTAGGTACTTATGCCGGGTTGCATTTAAAAAATGTATTAATTTAATTCTTCAATACAATTTAATGAACCAATCGTGGGCCACTAAATCAATATTAATCCGTTAAATGTTTGGGGAAAGTTCATGCAACAAAGTAGTTAGTAAACTACAGCAAAGGCATTTATTTTATTTTTCACTTATCTTTATACTATGTGCATAATAAAACTACCAAATAGAAGTATTGATAAATAAAATATATTAGTTTATAGTCTGTTCAGAATGAGATCGGTACACGGTGGTGACCAGTTTTCGTCGGGCGGCGGTCAGACGTTGTCCGCACTACCACGGGCGCTGCCACGTAACAAAACCCCAAGCACTATTTGGCCGCCCGTACCGATCTCATTCCGAACAGACTATAGAGCTAGATGTACGAAATTTTCACCTATTTCATCTAACACTAGGGACCTTGGTATAACCACTTTTAAATAATTTTGTATAACATAGTACCTATGCAGTTTCTGCATTGTACATATTATATTTTAATACACAATACATTATATTATTATTTTTAAGTAAAATCTCTTAGCTTAATAATTATCAAAATTAATTGAAATTTTATCATACGAAAGACTTTAGATTATTTTATAGATTCTGAGAAAAGTGATGAATGATTTTACGATCATGAGTGTGTTTTTTAAATTTTATTTTTAATTATCCAATTTTTGACAAAATCTATTTTATATTTTTGAAATTACTCAAAAATGAATAACCGTAGTTACTTGAAATGTTCACCAAATATTTATATTAAACAGTTTATGTATATAATAACAGTTTCAAAATATGTTGACACCTT